ATGGTAGTTCCAGGTATTTCATGGTTATAAATAGAAGAAAGAGATGATATTTTGACTTTCTTAATCTACTAAATTAATGGTTCAAAGGCAGTTATGCATTCAAATATTATTTCTTACTGCAGCTTCAAAACATCTCAGTAATAATGTCTGTGAAAATGACTGAAAATAAATTCTTAATAATAACTACATGGTATTGAGGCTGGTGAGACTTAATTGAAATTACGACTGTCTCTAACAGTCATAAAAATAAGGCAATCTTTTGTTTATTCTGTGTAATTAAAGGGATGACCAGCAAGTACCTTTGTAAGAGGTTTTCAGGAGAACTGAATATCATGAAAGAGTAAACGTATTCAAACTCCATCACTAATTTTCTTTTTCCTCTTTCCTGCATGATCAGAGCACAGACTGTTGGGTTGGCATGGATGCTTCCAATGTCAATCAGGTACAATATAGAAGGGTTCCTTTTGTTTTTGTGGACCACTGTCGTTCAGCTATTTCTGCATCCAGGTTAATGCCATGTGTGTCCTCCGTAGCAGTACACATGATTGCAAGTATTACTGAAACTTGCATTGGGTGACAAATAGTTACTCTTCTCCCAGGATAGCATTGGTTGATTTGTTCCTTGTTTTCACCAATAATTTCTGCCAGACCTTTAGCTTTCCTGTGTTCACTTTTCATCTCCGTTCCTTCCTAAAACTTGACAACTCTCTTGGATACATTTTGCTAATTGAATCTTTTTCCTTTCTACCTTCCGATAACTGATGAAACACATAGACAGACAAAACACAAAGAGCATTTTTCACCTTTAAGAAATAAGATCAATAAAATCAAGAAATAAGAAATAAGATCAACTACAGCATTCCCTTTGTGATGAGATCGTGTATCTCTCCAGAAGGATTATTATAAACTGGAAAATCTGGTCATAATTCTACTGAAATGTAGCCACTTGTAATGTTGTGACATATACCTAATAAATGTTTTCTGCTGTGTATACAGCACTGATAACTAAAATTATAAAATTGCTTTTTTTATCCAAAATCGTTTCAAAGGGCTTGAGTAAAGCTATTTATCAATGGAAAATATGTCCTACTTATTTTCCAAAAGTATTCTGAACTGCTGTTGGTCATTCCCCATTTTCAAATATAGAATTTCTCCTATTTCTAAAAATTTACAAACCCATATTCTGGTTTAATGTTAGCTACCCAGATTGCAAGCATTTTTAATATTTTATCTCTTCCTTCCATCTTTTTCTCAAGGAAAAAATATTTTATTTTTTCTGTTCAGCCCAGTCTTTTCTCTCTTCCTTTTTCCAAACTTTCTCATTTAATGTGGGAGCAAATAGATCTTAGTTTCTTTTTCTTTTTAATTTTTATTTATTTATGATAGTCACACAGAATGAGAGAGAGAGGCAGAGACACAGGCAGAGGGAGAAGCAGGCTCCATGCACCGGGAGCCCAACATGGGATTCGATCCTGGGTCTCCAGGATCGCGCCCTGGGCCAAAGGCAGGCGCTAAACCGCTGCACCACCCAGGGATCCCTAGATCTTAGTTTAAAAAAAATCCATAAACAGAATCTTTTTTAAACTAACAAGTAAAAATTTTCTGTAATTTTTCACAAAGTTATAGTTTTAGTAGATACATAGTACAGAAGGCAATAGACAAACCGAATATTTTCCTTCTGCATGAGAAAGGATGCCAGGTTACAGCAAAATATCTGAAATATCACTCTCCAAAGCCCTATCTTCTCCCCAAAACTAACTCCACGTTTTATTCTCCAGTACTTGCAACATCCCACTTCCAAGTAGCAAACTCTGTATCAGTTAGAATTTGTATCAGTATTATATAATGCTTCTTATAATATTATTTTTTAAGTAGTGACTTAAACAAAATAGAAATGTATTTTTCTCTTATGTAGAAGAGTTTGGAGGGAAGCAATTCAGAGACCTAGCCGTCTTCTCTCTTCCTGATGTGTAATGTATAAGGTCATCTCAAAACCCAAGATAGCTGCTGAACCTTTGCCATCATATCCACATTCCAGTCCTCAAGGATATAAACAGGATCCTCTTGATTGAATTCATGCTTGTGAGGAAACTCTCAGTATCTCAACCAAAATTTCCACTTAACGTCTCATCAGCTTACAAGCCACATGGCCACAATAGTACCAAAGAAATCCAAGAATTTGTCTTTAGTGTAGAGAGAAATATCCCCACAAATTTAGAGTTCTGTTACCAAGGAAGATGGAGAGAATGGCAGGCAGTTCCTGCCATGATTTTTATTACAGCTTTCTCCACAACAGTAGCATTTTGGAAATAGCCTAGAATGACCAGGAGAACAAGTCTGTAAATAAAACATAATATGTTAATATATTAAATACTGTCTTGATATTTAAAATATTAATGTAGATTACTATTTATCAACATAGGAAGTCATCCATGATACTTTTTTGAGTAAAGAAAAAAAAAGAGCCACAATCTATCTTACGCTCCCATGTGCAAAATCCTGTCTAAAAAGATTTTTAGATTTTTGTTATGTTACCAGTGGTTAGGTAACCATTGGGGTTAGTAATTATTTTGTGTAGTTTTACTTTAGTCTTTATACTTTTTTATGTTTCAAACTTTTTACAATGAACATGTACTGTTTACACGATTACTGTGGAAAAGAAAAGGCACTGAATGAAATTGCCTTCAGTAAGTTTTTATTTTTTTAAAGATCTTATTTATTTATTCATGATAGAGAGAGAAAGAGAGAGAGAGAGAGGCAGAGACACAGGCAGAGGGAGAAGCAGGCTCCATGCAGGGAGCCCGACGTGGGACTCCATCCCGGGTCTCCAGGATCAGGCCCTGGGCTGAAGGTGGGGGCTAAACCGCTGAGCCACCCAGGCTGCCTTTAAAAATTAGTTTGCAGCACCTTCTGTTTGCAAACCTATCTTTAGCCAGTGGGTTTTTAAAACTGCCCTTATGACACTTTCCAGTTTCATACTGATAAACGGTACTGCACTGATCATCAATTTCTCAGTAACATGGAACAAAGCAATAGTGAGGACTATTTGTAAAAAAGCCTCATTCGCTTTTTTGTCTGAGACCTCCAACTTATGCTATGTTGAGTTTCATACCAATACTACTTCTCTGAGTTTTTAATATGGTGTTCAGTAAGAAAGAAATTGGGTTTTTATTAACACTTGCTGTGAGTTTCAAATGCAGTCATTAATTATTTCAAATAGTCATCATCCCTGTTTTTTGTTCTGTCAGAAATGACCGTATATGAGACTTTGTTACTGGAAAGTAAATAGGATATTTGAAATCCAAGTGTGCCTTTCCTACACGTACGGCATTAAGCCCTTTGCTTCGTTCCTTTTTATCTCTGAAATGGGTAGAATAATAACTTGTGTACTTAAGAGAGTCTTGTGAAGGTAAAATGAGATATTTGATGAAAAGCATTTTTGCAAAGTGAAAAGTAGCACATATAAAATCAGGAAAGATTGGTTTATCTTCAAATCAGGGGGCTTTTGTAACATGGGGTTTTCTGAGCAGAAGCAATCATCTTCTGTGGGTACTGCCCACAACACCTGCAGCCAATGTAGCCCAACAGGTTGGTTGCTACTTCAAAGGGCAGCAGAAAACTGAGAAAAGCAGGTGTTACAAGAATGCAAACTAAATCACTAATCCAGAAATCTATCGTGAAAATGCAGCCGTAATTACTTGCATCAATTTCTTGGGATGGGTGGGTAAACCTTAATTTATTATACAAATTGTACTAAGGATTTTTAAAACAGATTATCTGTGATTTTCTTAAAATATCATTTGCAAAAAGTTTACTAATCCCAAACAGCTGAAAACTAAGTATTTTAATCTCCTTGCAGAGAAAAAAAATTGCCAAAGATTAAGAACATATCTGTCATTTAATGAAGGCAAAAACATAGCCAGCTTAGAAAAGTGGTCACTCAGAAACACACATAACCACACACACACACACACACAAACACACACACTATTGTAGTATCTCCTTTGAAATGACATCTGTCTTAACTTCCATTTTCACAGGTGGGGTTAGAGCTGAGACTCATTAGTGACAGTTGAATTTCCTCTGAACTAAGCTGAATTAAGTGGTGCTGGAGGTACACTGGGGGTTCCTCCTTGTTTGGGTCTCTGGTTCAGCACCTGGATAAGCTTATATTGCCTTGGTAACCAAGCCAAAACCCTTTCTTAGTATTGAAAAGGGTGATGGATACTAGTGATTTATGATAATTTGGGTGAATTGTGGTTTCTCTCACCATGTAGGTGAGTTTCTTGTTTTTCTTTTTTCTGTTAAGGGGATTTTGTGTGGTATGTATAAGAGTGAACTTTTATAAAGCATAATATGCCATATATATATATATATATATATAATATATATATATCCCAACATGTTAAGCTTCCTCCTATATTCCCTAGTCCCTTTTGTTGGTTTTGAGGAGAGAACCTTTGCATTGTGGTAGACATGCCATTGGCAATGGCCTTTGAAGCATGTATTCTGTTACCACAAAGACAGACCAGCCCATGGACACTTTCTGAGTCATCAGATGCCTTGGACTTCCTGGGCTTCAACCACTATATTGAGACCTACTCCATGTAATTTCTCTAGGCCCTGATGGTTCCATTGTTCTCTTTTTTTTTTTTTAAGATTTTTATCTATTTATTCATGAGAGAGAGAGAGAGAGAGAAAGAGAGAGAGGCAGAGACAGAGGCAGAGGGAGAAGCAGGCAAGGAGTCCAATACGAGACTCAATCCCAGACCCTGGGATCACACCTAGAGCCAAAGGTAGACACTCAACTGCTGAGCCACCCAGGTATCCTGATGGTTGCATCTCTAAAATGTTTTAGACTTAGGACACCGGCCTATTTACCTGAGAGTTGCTTGAAATATTAGAGAAACTTTGCCTTTGTAACATTTTTGCTCAAAGCAGCAATGTGTTTTGTTATTTTTATTATAACTATTGAAATTTGTTTTCTTCCTTCCTTTTAGCTCCACCAGTACTGTCTCTTATATGGATGAACCTAGCCAGAGGGATGATGCCTCTTGCCTTACAGTTCAGATGGAAAACACCTATCAGTTGGGTGTGTTATTTTATCACTCATTTCTATTTTAAACTTTTTTTAAAGGTTTTATTTATTTATTTAGAGTGTGGGGGAGGGGCAGAGGAAGCAGGAGAGAGGATTTCAAGCAGACTCCGAACTGAGCACATGAAGCTCACCGTGGGGCTCAGTCTCATGACCCCAAGATCATGACCTGAGCAAAATCAATAGTTGGCCACTCAACCAACTGAGCCACCCAGATAGCCCCTTATTTTAAACTTCTGATCTCATTATTAACTTAAAATAATATCTGATAACATGGCATTATCTTCAATATTAGCACAATATAATAGATCTTAATTAAGTGATTTGATGTGGTTTTAATTTCTTCCTCTGCAAGATGGGACCAAATTGCTTACTTTTCTTTATCAGCGTTTCCTAAATATCAAACAATTCATTGGCAGCACTGATGTGTATTGTGTATTACTGAACTAAGAAGTTTATTTCTGGATATTTCTGGGTCATCCTGTAGAGTAATTTTATCTATGTTCAATTAAATGAAGAGATATGCATTTAAGTTTTATACCACAAACCCAACTAATGTTGTTGATAGGTGGAGAAAAAAGCCTTCAAAGCAAAAGCAAATGATTTCTGGTCCCTTGTTGACAGAGTGTTTATCCCTTTCCGCTGAGGCTTTGGGTCTTTGAAAACAAAGATCTTTGCACCTGCCCCTATGCTCCCAGATGGAGTCCACAGTGAATACCTTTTCCCATTCATGTCTTCTCATAGAATGACTTGTTTTCTCTAAATGTGTACCTGCCCACTATTATCTGCCCACTATATATAATTATTGCTATATAGAAATCCCACAGAGACTTACCAATGACCAAAGGAAGGACTCTATGGGCCAGAGTGGTTCCATCTGTAGCCAGTAAAATTCAAGAAAATTACAACCATCAGTGCATCCCATTAGGCCTTGTAGCCAGTTTTCTACAGTAATTCCCAAGACTACCTGGATTTCGAGGCTCCATAATTAGTCAGTCTACTGGTATTTTCACAGTGGCTGGGGTAGACAACTAATATTCCTGCCCTCCAGTGTAATCTTCTACTCCTTCTGGTAACCTTACCCAGTTTCCTTTGGGGAAGCCTGCTACTGCCATCATTACCACTTTTGATCCATTAATATCCTGCTAAAGCTGACACTAGTTTCAGAGATATAACAGTGATCAATTCTGGGATAGCATATGACTGTTTGATACATCAAGCTAATCAAAACGTTTGAGATTCAACTTAGAAAATGTTGTTTGAGCTGTTGAAGAAGCTTATTAGTCTCTGAAACCTGAAAGAAGTAGCGGTATAGCACCCTTTGCCATCTTGCTCCAATATATGAAGCTTGAGTCCAAGAGAGAACCAAATCCTAATGTAATTATTTGAGTCCTAAATTCAGCTATCTGCTCTTAGACTTTTCATTAGACAAGGTAGGTTTGGGTCAGGTTTTCCTCCACTTAGAACTAAAAGATTTTAACCATTCAATACCTATGACATTGGGCTCTGCATGCTGAAAGGGTTTGAAACAGATTTTGACAAGATAAAGGAGTTGAAATATGAAGTCCTGTGTTTCTTCTTCATAAGCATGTACTTTCATAACTTATTTCCTTAAATAAACTAAATCATCTTATCAATTTAAGAAGTACTAAGTGTTGAACCAAGTTAGAAAAGCAGTGTTAGAAATAGCTTAGTATAAAGTATTTCCCATATTTTCTTACAAAAAGTCATGTGAATTATTCCTTTATGATTAAAGTCTTTTATGCTTGACAATCCATTTCTTAAGCATTCAACTAGCCATCTTTTAATACTCAAACAAAAATGTATTTGCACTTCTACTTGTTTCTGAGATTATTTTGCATCTGAAAGGTACTCTGTAGACCTTTGGTAAAGATTTTCTCATATCTACACAGTGCAGTACTTCCCAAAAGACTGTGGGGGGAACCTGTCAATCAGCATTATTGTGTTTATTTTTTCCAATTCTATCCAATAATATTTGCATCATATAAAAGCATTTTAAATGTTTAGTATGTTTGTCCTCCCTGTATCTGGGTAATTATAGCCAGAATGAGATGAAACATAAGTATAATTAATAAAAAAGAACAGGGAATGGAAAAATCAAAGTATATTTCTTATAATAAAACACCATTTATATTTTCTCATTAATTAATTATTAAAACATGAATATAGAGAAAAATACAAGATGTAAGATCCAGGATGTCTGAATTTGAATACTAGTCTTGCCAATTCCTAAGTAAATAATGTTTGAGCAAGGTATCAGCACCCTGACTCTCAGTTTCTTTATCTGTAAGAATGGATAATAGTCCATACATCATAGGGATTTTGTGAGAACTAAATTAAGGAATGCATTTAAATTACTTCCTCATTCATTATGTTAGTTTCTCAATGTGACTGAATCTAGGATTTCACTTTAAATCACTAAGAAAAAAAGGCCTTTTGTGACATCCAGTATAATTTCCTATGAATTACGGAATGAGTTCTCCACAGGACTTTTTCTGGAGCAATGGTTAAAGAAGTATCTGATTCTTTAAAAACACTGACAGTAAGCAGGAAGTCAGATAGGTCAGACCTATATTGGTGGCTATTTTTGCTGCCACAGTGAGACAGGCTGCCTGAGAAGGTAGACAACATAACAAAAGTAGAACCGGAAATTGGAGAGAAGAAAGAGCTTACCCATTTGAGCTCAGCTTCCATAGGATGATTAGGCACTGTCATCGGATGCTCTCATGAACAGAAACTGTCAAGCTCTCCACCCTGACCTCACTCCACCCCCTGAGGTCCTTCCTGACTGCAGAGGTCTCACTGCCTTCCTACTTATACCTTCACCCAACCTTGCTGCCTTCTCAGCAAGAACAATGCCCATATCCTCCCTCAAAATGAGGCGGCCAACCATAACAACAACACTAATAATAATAAATACCTAATGAGTGTGTGTCTTGAGGGGTGGGGGAGTTGTGCATGGCAGCACTATTCTAAACATTTCGAATATTTTGCCTCATTTAATCCTAACAAAAAACAATATGCGATAATTCTTATTATTACCCCAATTTGAGGAAGCTGACACACAGACAAATTAAATAACAAAATATTTATTTATTGTACCTTAAATCTATTTTTGTGACAAGTCTTTTTTTCTTTCCTTTCTTTTTCCTATTTTTCTTTTCCTCTCCTTTCTTTTTTTATCCCAACCTTTCTTCAGATCTTTGCTTTTTGATTTCAAAAAATGTCTTTTCCTCCTAAAGAAAAAAAGTCCACTCAGAAAGAAAAAAAAAAGAAATAGAAAAAAGTTCTGCCATTCCCATTAGTTGACTCTGATAGTAGATTAGGGATCTCATTTGGGAAGTCAAAAGCTGAACATTCATTCTTTCTCTGTCTTTGCATCTCAGCATCCCAGCATGAGCAAGGCAAGGGATGATTCTGGCTGCACAGGGGAGAAGTCACAAAACAAATGAAAAAAAAAAAAGTCCATGATGATATTTCAAGATATCTTCAAAATAGGATCTGGTAAATGAAATTTTAAAAAACATACACACAGTCAAGTGCAGAAAGGACATTGGTACAGCTAAACAGTAGGGGCTACTGGAAACAGAGACTCAAGTGCAACCAAGATTCTGTGTTTCCAGCACTAAACTGGGTGTGGGCCTCCTTCTCTCATTGTGGCCTGGCTTCCTCTCCATGGTGAGAATCATGGCCTTCTGCAGTTCCTCAGCATCACATGTCATAACTTTTATCACCATAAAGAGGTTGACTTTTTATTCCTAGTTTCAGTTTAAAATCAAAATTCTGAGAAAGGATTCTAAGTGGTCTGGCTTGTGGGCAAGTACCACTCCTGAGTCAATCTACAATAACCTGGACTGGGGCTCAAGGAGGTGATGGTAGATCCTAAAGAACCATCTGGTTAGAGATGGAAAACTCATCTTCCTAGGAGGCAAGTTGCTGTTCCCAAATGACAGAGAGGAGTACTAAACAGATAAATATTGAGGGAATTCACTATTTGCTGAAGGGAACAATGAATACAAGCTATGTGGCCAAATTAAGTTCCATGTGAGTGATGTAGGCCAAGGTATATGCAATATGCTTGCTTGGCAGGAAGGAGTGAAAACCAGAAAGATATAGTTAGAACATATGTAATCTACTTAATTTAGTTCAAGTCAATTGTATCATCTTTAAATTTCTTGAATAGAAAGGGGAAATCACCCTCAAATTTAGCCTTATGCAAATGGAAATGTAAAAGAGCCACAGAGGCTTGTAGGTACATACGTTGACCCCATGAAAGAGGAGCCGTCAGGACCAAGCTGGAGTTATAAACCTACAAGCCTACCGTTTTTATAACTGCTTGTCTGTCCTATAGAATGTAGACTTCTTGCTAACTAAATATTGGGGTTAATCATCATACCCATCAGATCAGGTGTCTCTCCCTTACCTATCCAGATTCATTCCCCAGGCTGATTTAATTGAACAATTCTTATATAATCATCAGAATACAAATACTATTTATTGAGCCCCAGGAGGCAGACCTAACTCACCTACAGGGTGTAGCTTCTTTCAAGGGAGCCCTTTCCACATGCTTCTTCTGGATCTAGTAAGAGTTCCCTTTCCAGGTCCATCAAGCCTGGAGTGGGAGGTAACACCCTCAATTCACTAGCCAAGGGATACTGCACCATCCTTTGGTCCTACATCCTGCTCAGAACTTCCTAAGGAGTCTCTTTATTAAATCCTCCTGGAATTGTCCTGCTTTTAGTGTGCCATGTATTTCTTTAGACTCTGATACAGTGATTAAAAATAAACACTTAAAAGATACTGATGACTGTTAAAATAGAATCGGATGTAATTCTTGATCTCATTCCTTTATCCATATCAACTCAGCAAATGATTGAGTCTCTATATGCCAGGCTCTGGGCACATGTACATGTTGTACAATGACAGAATGATGATGAGGTTAATATTCCCTGGAAGTACAGGGAAGATTCCTGGGATGTTGGATAAAGAAGATCCATCTGAAACTTTAAGTCCTGAACACTAAATGTGGTTAAGGATATAAGCTCTCAAGTCAGATAAAACAAGAAGTACATCCCACTCTGCCACTGTGTGATTCTGAGCAAGTCACTGAATGTATTTAAACCTCTGCTTTCCCATGTATGAAATGGAGAGAATAGTAAAATTCACCCCAAAGATTTATTGGAAGATTCTGTAAGGTAATAAATATATAATGATCACAGTACATGACATGTAGAAAAAGCTCAGTAAAAGTAGTTGTTATCTGTACTATGATCATTACCTCTAAAATGTTTACTTCTATTTGAAATTTAAAAATCATACATTAAATATTTCCTATGCTTTTAGCATTGTATATTAGACTCTGAGGTAGATAAAATATGACCCAGCTTACCATTTCACTAGGGAGAAAAGCAGAAATGCTTTGGCTATGATCTGGGAGATTGGGAACAATGGGGACCCAGGGTACTGGGAGTACCAAAAAGAAAGGAATGATTTTTTTTTTTAACCTGAAGAGAGGGGAAAAGCTTCCTGGAGAAGAAGACATTAGAGCTGGCCATGAAACATGAGTGGATATTTCTCAGATGGACACAAACATCCCTTAAAGGACAACTCTCTATGTAGATGGAGCAGCATCTACATAGAGAGCTATGGTAGGCAGCAAAAGGGCTAGAGGTACTGAACCTTAGACTTTGCTAAGGGAAATACCATGGCCAGATCTGGGTTTTAGAGGGACCCTTCCAGTTGTAGTGTGATATACATAGATTGAAGGGGGAGATAAAGAGCTGGGAGTCAGTTAGAAAAATGTTAACATTTTACAGTAAGTCATTAATACTTTCAATATCAAACCTCAATGGTACTGAATACACTCTTTAGGTAGCCTAGTAAATGGATGAGCATGTTGTCTTCTGGTCCTCTGCCAGGGAACCTGACTGGAAACCTAATTAGGACTATTTTTTTTCCCTTAAATAGGACCACCCAGAAGATTAAATGTCTCTCCATGATTTAGTTCTCCTTTGATTAGCCTATGGGTGGGTGGATGTCATTTGAAATTACTTAGAAATTTCATCTGTATTTTCAGGTCCTACCAAACATTTTCCTGTGGTCATTGTCAATCATATCCTGAAAGATGTCTTAACTAACTATCTACAAGAAGAACAATATGAACCAGAGCTCTGCAGACAGATGACTAAAACGATTTCTGAGGTATAGGCGTGATTTGACTGAAGTGTTCACTAAAACTAGAATATTGCTAAAAGGACAACCCCCTACTTTTTTGATGAAGGCAATTAATTTTCAGTAGTAGAAAAAATGTTAATTTATATTTTATGAAAATATTTATTAGGTCATATTCTGTGTATGTGTGTGTGTATAAAAAGCCTTTGTCTAAAACAACCATTATGTGTATCATTTTGCAGGCATTTTGTTTAAAAAATGTTTATAACTGCTCCATTTTTTAAAAACTTACTGTCAAAGATATATTTTAATGATCATTTTCTCTTCTTCAAGGTAATTTCTTGGAGTGCATCAAATATAGATATTGTGGCCTTTAAATACATTTCTATTTTTATCAACTAAAGTGCTGGCACTCCATTAGCTTTTCTTTACTTAATTCTCTATAACAAATTATTTAATAAACATTCATGATTAGTCATATTACAGGAGACCAGACGTGTGATCCCTTAATTAGACATAAATAACGTGGCATAACTCTCATGCCAACATTCTTTGAAGGGAAGCCATCTAAACATAGATTTTCAAAGAATGTGATAAATCCTTTAAGTCCTGTTCTCTGGATTATAGTTTTTCCATGTGTCTTAGGAAATGTAGATTTATTGCTGGTGCTATAATTTTCTCCTTAAATATCCTCTCTCATGAGAACAGTGCTTAAAGGAAATCATAGTTAAGTTTCTATAATTACTGAAAATATCTACAACACATCATGTGATTTTCTTAAATCCACCATATTAAAGACAAAGATAGACTCGTAAGTTTCCATGTGGCTAAGTGAGGACCTTTTTGTTGTTTTTCTTTTCATTTCTAGGTTATTAAAACCCAGGTGAGGGACCTGATGATTCCACGGTATAAGCTAATTGTGATTGTTCACATTGGACAACTGAATAGTCAGAGCATTCTTATTGGAAGCAGATGCCTCTGGGATCCTAAAAGTGATACCTTTTCATCTTATGTTTTCAGAAATTCTTCTCTCTTTGCTCTTGCAAGTGTCTATGCAGTTTACTTTGAGTGAGTTCTTACTTTCTTATATCAAGAAATAGGTTGTATTCATGGACACAAAAGCTTTACTGCCCAAAAGTTTGAGAAGGAAGCAACGGGGGATCCCTGGGTGGTTTAGCGGTTTGGCGCCTGCCTTTGGCCCAGGGCGCGATCCTGGATTCCCAGGATCAAGTCCCGTGTCGGGCTCCCAGCATGGAGCCTGCTTCTCCCTCTGCCTGTGTCTCTGCCTCTCTCTCTCTATGTCTATCATGAATAAACAAATCTTTAAAAAAGAGAGAGAGAAGAAAACAACATTAATATTTCAAACAACTGGAATTTTTGAACTTTTTAATGCTCTTCAAAGAACTGAGGGAGGGAAAGGTGGCACAAGAAAGACTCTTGTTTATCCAAAGAACTAAGTATTGGCTCTGCTGGATTGTTTTTCATAGACATGAGTTCTAATTTAATATTACTATTGGTACTAATTATTTTAATTACTCTTTATATAGAGAGTGAAAATTTCCTGTGTGTGTGTGTTTTTTTTTTTTAATGAAGAAAAGTTTAAAAAAAAAAGTGACTATATGTACCCTGGCCAATAAAGGACAGAAGAATATTCAACACAGTATACACAAATGATAAATGTTAATGTGTCTCAGTGCTGCATATAAAAGAATACTGGTTTTCATTTTGTACTTAATAAATTGAGCAGCATTCATTAACTGCAATTATTGTTACATGTACCTGACAGTTGAAACTGCTGAGGTAGAATTAATGATTTCATAACAATTATTGTAGTCCCACAGGGCTGCTAGCTAAAACTAGCAGCTCTTGTGGGTTGCCTGCACTTTACAAAATTGTGAGAGAACTGAATGTTGGCTCTCCAGTAATGGAAACTATAAAGTGAACAAAGGCTTTTAGGGCACTGCAGTAGACATTGCTGTATTAAATATACATGATGTTTAATAGTAAATGTATCTGTAACGCTTAAAATCATGTATTGGAGAGAGACACTGCTTTTAAATATACACTGCCTGATGTGCCTTTAAATAGGCTTTCCTTGGCTAACAAACTTTTACACAAAATATATAGCTGGCATCTTAACAAATAAAACATGTGTATTTATTATTCTTTTCCTATGAATTGAATGCTAAAGTGACCCAGTGCAGTTTTGAATGGATGGCACTGAAATTTACAGGGCTGAAATTGCTTATTATTCTGCTGGTTAATGTAGCTTGTACCATGGATCATTTATTTTTACGGAGCTTTCAACCCTTTGTGTGCATATAAAATGATGCTGAGGTGTTGTTTCTGGCTGGTAAGTGAACTGCCCGGAGGACATTTGTTAAAGGTCAAAGACAAATTGTACACATGTGGAGAAAATTAGCAATGCTATAGTCCTAAGGAAAAAAAATATGTGTAATTCATATCAAAAAGAATTTTGCAAATGAGAAAGCAGTCAATACTCTAGTTTTAAAATGTATTGATGTCTTATTTTTCCCCAAAACTTATACTAAAAAAAAAAAAAGGAAAAATGTATACTTTTAAAATCCCTTGCCTTCTGTTTGTCGTGGCCCTTAAGGTAGCTTTTCAACATGAATTAGTGAATTTTCATTATGTTTTCTAATAGTGCTTTCGTGGGAATGTGTCTGTGTAATAATTCATCGCAACCAGTATTTGTCAATCTCCATAGGCCAGTTCTGAATCTGGATTAGATTATAAGTACAGTAAGTAAATGAGCTGCATATTTTCATTACACATTTGCAAACATCACCCCTCTTGGAGCAATAGCAAGGGAAATCGTATTGCAATTTTGCACAAGTAAATCAGAATGGAGAAAATTCCTTAGTACATGGAAAGTCCATTATAAAAATGGCTTTATTTTTTTAGTCTTAAAGTCTCATCCATGAGATAATTTCTTACCATCTGTCCTAGGCTGTGTTAGGAATCAAAACCTTAAAAAATGATGGTAGTTAAAAAGCAAAAAAAGGAAGCAGTTAAACAGCATATTGCCATGTACTGTAATTCAGACAGTCAATGATGAATTCCAGCAATTAAAGAGCAGCATAAGACCATACAGTAAAGTCTCACTAATTGCAGCTAACTTGGAAGGATGCTGGTTATCACAAAAAGCCTTATGATAGGAAATTTTGATGGATGCATTAGCTAACACCATGGAAGTAATCATAACATAAAATACAAATGTAGCAGGTTGACACATTGTATACCTTAAACTTACAGGATGTTATATCAATTATACCTCAGTTTTAAAAACAAAATTTTTTTTAAAAAAGAAATGACTCAGTAAATTTGAGGGAATTGTTTTACTTTGAGACACCCTGAACTTACCTAGTATTTTGCCTTCCCAATAGGTGTTCCTAAAGTGACCTCCTTCTTGCCAGACCTGCCATGCCAGCCCTCACCACGGAGCCCTCAGTCATGCTTTTCCCTACACAAACACCTCCTTCCACTTTTAGTGACTTTCTTCACTTTCCAGCATTAAACTCTGGTCTTGCCTTTTCCCTAAATCCTTCTCCGTCCATTTCTTCCCTCCTGTTATCTCTTTGCTTTAATCTCTAATCAGTCATCAGTCTCCTGTTTGTTCTCTAGGTAATTTGTGAATGACAATTTTGTTTTCCCTACTAGACTCAAAGCACCTTGAGTCTGTGGACCACATATCCTGACAGTACCTAACAATAAAATTGAACACATTTTAACTTTTCAAGCAAAATCACATGCATCGATTGCACTCTGCTACCTAACCTCCAACAACAGAGATAATAGTAACACACAGTTTAACTCTAGAGGAACTGTGATCCTATAAGGATGATAAGTATACAAGTAACCACAGTACAGGCTAGAATATGTTTTCATAAGAAAGTCCAGAATATCTTAATGTGCTTAAGGGAATCAGAGAAGGCTTCATGAAGGAAGTAGCATTTACCTAGACTATGAAGTTGCAAAGTAGGATTTCAACAGACAGAGGAGTTCAGAGTACAGGAAGAAGTCTAGACTGGATAAAACACAGTGTTCATGAAGATCAGTAGCTAGAACTAAGACTGGAAGGGTCCATGGAGGTAAACTGAATGTCTGGGCAAGAAAGCCACATTCAGATCATGCATAATCATTGAAGGCTTTTCATTCAGTTCATTGTGAAATAACTCTTTAAGAAAATGAATCTGTCAATAAAGAATGGGAAGACCCCAGGAGAAGGGAGATGTAATGAGAGTCTGAACTGAGGGATGGAAAGGAGAGGACAGTTGTATGGAACATTTTAGGGATAGTCTTCATGACCAGGCAGAGGGGAAGGAGGAGTTGGAGGTGACTCAACAGGACAAAGTGGCTCTGGGGATGTTTGCAGTCTCAGGTCTAAGTCCTGCTGTCCTAGTCACTAGTTAGTTAAGTGATCTTAAATAAATGACAAAACTCACTTGGGCTGAAGCTTCCTCATCTTAAAGCAGAGTAGTGATAATGCTGGTATCACAGAGTTTTAGATTGGCAGACGGTGGCAGGCTGGAGCCCAATGCTGACTCTAAGGGAGGCCCAGGACGGGCTTGGAGGTGCAGCCTTGCTTGCTAAAAGGCAAAAAAAATACATGTTTGCTAAGCATTTAACAGATGGGAAACCCTCAATCAATAGTAGTTCCCCTGATTGAAAGTTTGAGTCTGGACAACTAGATCAATGGTCCTGGTAACAAAAATAAAGAAGTCAGCAAGGAAGAATTTGAGGATGAAAATACTAAACTCACTTTTTCACTTGTTGAATTTAAATTAATAATGGAACGTTTAGATGGAAATAGCCCGAGGCGGCTGAAAAAGTGGGGCTGGAGCTGAGCTACATCAAGGTGAGAGATTTCGACTTGGCAGTCATCCAAATTGAAACCTAACATCTTCCTCCTGCTGTATAAAATATTCATTAGCAGCAGCAGCAGCAGCAGCAAGTATAGTGAGTACTAATAGCAAATTACTGAAAATTCAGTTAAGTTGGGAAATGTCAGCAGGAAACCCTTCCCCAGAATCAATACAAAAAATTTCCCTCAAAACCCAAATTAAATGATGCTTTTATTTCTTTATATTTTTGCTGTTAAAAATTTCTGTATGACCATTTCTGTTGCCAGACGTCATAAGAAAGAAAAGATCCTCTCAAAAATACATTAGCATCTTGAGTGGAAGTAACAATGTTGTTGTCTGTTGTCATTGTTAATAGAACAACTTTAAAGAAAATGTAATAGGATTCCAATGGATTATGTGCTGGGAAATTAAGCGCTACTTCAACTCATTGATTTTTTTTAAAACTGTTGAGAATTATCCAGCCTAGGGAGTGATTTAAAAAACAACAGTTGAGAAATGAGGATTTTTAAATCTAGCATTTTAGAGAATGAACCCTTGCCTTGTTAGGACCATTACTTGACCTGTCTTTCTAGATATTATAAAAAAAATGCATCAAGAAAAGTCAGTATTAGATAGTTACTGATAATTTACTATGCTTTTGTATTCTCGGAATTCTTAAGGTAGTGGCCTGCACTCACCACCTCTGCTACTCCCACCTTACCCTCCTGCAATCTGTTCACATCCCCCACCAATGATGCTTTCACAAACAGTGGAAGTGGTGGTCCAGGCCAAATCTGCCACACATTTCTTCAGTCCCATTCCACCTCAGCTCTCTTCTGAATTCATTTCTTTTGAGCAGCAATGTGATGTAGTTGTTTTTTGTTTGACATGTTTTTTCTTTTTTGTTTTGTTTTAAAGATTTTATTTATTTCTTTGACAGAGCACAAGCAGAGGGAGCAGCAGAGGGAGAGAGAGAAGTGTTGGCTTGCTGAGCAGAGAGCCTGATGTGGGGCTCAATCTCAGAACCCTGGGGTCATGACCAGAGCTGAAGGCACACACTTAACCGACTGAGCCACCCAGGCGTCCCTGTTTTGTTTTAAGCACAGATTTGAAAACAAATACTCGTTTTAGCTTTCAACTTTTAGTAGCTGTGCAACTTTGGGTAAAGTAGCCAATGTCCTGAGCCTCAGTTTTTTCAAAGGTAAAAATGATTATAATGATGATCACTACTTGTTATTGATCAGTCATCAATGACCACCATTCATGTTCTTGCGCTGAAGACAGTATACATGTAAAATGTCTGGCCTATCATAGACCTTCACTCTGGGCATCCAATTTCTTCCCACAAATCCTGTTTTCCTAAAGAATTGAGCATATGTTTTAGCAATTTCTGCTCCCACCATAATGTAATACCCTAGATTGCTTGGTTCCTTTCTGTTCAAAGTCTTAATCATCTGCCACTGCCATCTTTAAGTGTCAGATAACTTCTCAAGTCCACATTTATTATAAAATCCTATTTTTCCCCAAATTTAGCTTCTTTTTGCTAATCTCTGCCTGTTTTTATACTTCCAGTCAGATATACTTCAGTACTTTCTTACTTTCGTTTAATGTTTTTACTTATTGCTACTTATTTTTTCCTTAGAGTCTATTTGAACTTATATGTTCTCATCCCTTCTTCACATGCATGAGCACATACTAGAATAGTACTTTAAGGTTTATTGAAGCTTAAATGTGTTAAGTATCTGATTAAACTTTCCTGTAATTTCTCCTCAGTTTCTTTCATCACTAGTTTAACTATGGTACACAACTCCCACCCTCCCCCCACCCTCCATACAGGACAAAACTTGAAACTTGTGGTTCTCCACCCACCCACTAGGTTATTTCCCTACTTTGCAAGGATGAAACCAGTATAACCAGTATGGGAAGCATTAAGCTTCACTTTCCATCTGTAATCAAAAAAGGAAAATTGTTGTTTCCCAGAGACAACAAGGAGGATGGATCATCTAACTACCAAAAGGACAGAATACACAGCCTGATTTGTGTGGGAGGTGCTGGGAAATCATTTAAAAAATTTGTATGAGAAATAGTAAGCTTGGAGAGAGTAAGGAAAAATAAATTACATGTTGTTAGTTAATTATAAAAATACTTTGTATTTTTCTTTAAGAAATTTATTCTATATCAAGAACTTTACTTTGGTAGGAGAGCTAAAAAATTAAAACCACAGCTAAGTTGCTTATTTCCACCCCAG